CAGGGGGTCAGGTTAGATGATCTGTTCAGGTCCCTCCTGACCCTAGCTACTATGAAATTATGAAACTATGGGATTATCAGACACCTTTCATTCTACAAGAGAGCTATTTCTATCCCTTAACCTGGGGACTGCAAACACATGACTTCAGACACCATGCATATTGATTGTTGAGCCAGAACTCCAGTCCCATCACACTAAGCCTTTCATTAACTAATGAGTCCAGTCTTACAGCAATTCTGGTTCTTTGCCTGCTACTTGGCTTGAAAGCTGTTTAAAAAAATCACACTTTTGAGAGTTAGAAAAATTCTAATTCCCATTACGAGTTTGTCTATATTCATTTCAGAGCCTGTGCTGGTGGCATTCAGGAGTCTACAGGTTCTTCTCTTTCCCCAGTATTCACTCTATGAATGCACTTGCAAAGGATCATCCTATTCTCCTTCAGTCTCCATTTTGTTACGCTAAACAAGCCTGGAGTCTTTATTCTTTATTCTTCTTTCATAAAATAAGTTCTCCATTCCTGTCACCAACTAGTAGCTCTTTTTAAAACCTGTTTCTGCTTAAGCTCATCTTTTTTTTTTAATATTGGTGGCCAAAACTGCAGTTTCCCTAATGGAGTTTTACTAATGCCTTGTGCAACAGTCCTAGTACCTACTTGTTTCTCCTGAGCACACCCCAGGTACTATAGCCTAGGATTGCATTAGCCTTTTTCACAGCTACATGGCACTGGTGGCTTGTAGTTACCCTATGATGGACCCATACACCCAGGTCCCCCTCTTCCTCTGTTGTCTCCATTCACAAAGTGCTCTTGCCTGAGTTATAGGATCAAGTCTGTGAGCACAGAGCCTAAGCTGGATTCATTACCAGAGCTGGTTAGCAGTTTCCCAGGGAACCTCTGCACATTGGAAAATGCTGATTTGGTGAAACTGAAGCCTGCCATGCAAAGGCCTAAGTTCAATGATTTTTTTTTTTTACTTGAAAGTAGTCTGAAAAAAACCCCTGCTCAGAATCATCAAACTTTCATTTTGACCTTGTTAAATAAAGTAGTTGGGTTTTTCCATTTAAAAGGACTTGCTTAGGAAAAATATCAAGCAGATAGTATTAAAAAGACAGCTCCACAGTCTAAACCCCAAAGGGTTCACTGCCCTGAACCAACATATTTAAAACACATTTGCAAAATGGTTCAGGATTTGACTTCTTGTCTTAATTTGGAACACAAAAAAATTTCAAAACAAGTGTGAGAAGGGAACCATTTTAGTCCTAGTTCTACGCCTACATCTCTAGCCAGGCTCTAGCCACTGTCTGTGACAGGACTGGATTTGCAGTGGCAGGGGTCTATAGGTCAAGACTGACGAGTATTAACTGAGTTCTGTGCAGGGAGCCCAACCTGGCAGAGCTGGGGATTTGCAGCCAGACAAATGTCTGCAAATCATAACCCAGAAAATCTTCCCTTTCAGGGGCATGGCTGGACAGGAGCTGGGGCAGGAGAGATGAGTGCAGAGGAGTTAATGTGAGTTGGTTCAAGAGTAAAAGATGAAAACCTAACCACTAGGGCTGTGTGAAACGGCAGCGCTCCATTTTGAATTTTGTTTCCATTTGAAACAGCTGGTCCGCTCTGTTCCCTCGAAACGGTCGAAGTGGCAAAACTCACCCATAGGATATAATGGGGAAGGTCAAAACAGCCTATAACGTTGTCATTTCTGGCCTGATGTGAATGAAACTTGTAAGAATGGTAGTCCCTTCTGAGGGCATGAAGCCTGCCAAGTTTCAAGGAGATAGGTGCAGGGGGTTTGGAGACACTGCATCCCAAAGTCTTGAAAGCAAAACTCATGTCATGGGTATGTGTTAAGCCACAGAGGGGTCAAAACTGCAGGCATGCTAGCCCGTGCTGAGGCCATGAAGCCTGCCAAGTTTCAAGGGGATAGGTGCAGGGGTTTGGGGAAAACTGTACCTCAAGCTGCAGACAAGCAAAACTCATGGCAGGGGTGACATAGCGTGTGTTAAGGCGCAGCAGGGTGAAAGCTGCAGGCCTGCTAGCCCCTGCTGAGGCCACGTAACCTGCCAGCTCTCAAGGAGATCAGTGCAGGGCTTCTGGGTTTTGGGGCCTTGCACCTCTGGCTGCTGACGGGCAAAACTCGAGACATGGGTGCTTGTGCAACTGCTGCCTCTCATCCGGAAGCAGGACTGAAGATCCCCAATCTGTTGCCACCGGGGACTTGGGAGTAATAATTGACCAGAGTATGAACATGAGCCGACAGTGCGATGCTGTAGCCAGCAGGGCCAACAATACCCTGATGTGCATCAATTGATGCAGCTCCAGTAAAACCATTGCAAAGAGGTGATTCTCCTGCTCTACTTGGCTGTACTTGGCATTGGAGAGACCGCAGCTGGAGTACTGCGTCCAGTTCTGGGCTCTGCGCCTTAACAAGGACGTGGTAAAGCTTGAGAGAGTCCAGAGAAGAGCTACCCATATGATCAGAGACTTGCACAGCAAGCCATACAAGGAAAGCCTGAGGGACCTGGGACTCTTCAGCTTGAAAAGGAGAAAGCTGAGAGGGGGCTTGGTAGCAGCTTACCACTACATCGGAAGCATACATCTAGGGTTTGGTGAACAACTGTTTACCAGGGCACCCTTGGGGAAAACTAGGAATAATGGTCACAAACTCCTGGAAGATTGTTTCAGGCTCAACAATAGGAAAAACTACTTCACAACTAGGGTGTTCAGATTGGAATAAGCTCCCTCCAGAGGTGGTGCAATCACCTATCCTGGAAATCTTCAAGAGGAGACTAGACAGTCACATCGCTGGGGTCACCTGACCCCCAGTTGTCTTTCCTGCTTGGTGTAGGGGGCTGGTTTTGCTGGAGATGCATCAATTGAAAGGGTATTGTTGGCCCTGCTGGCTACAGCATTGCACTGCCAGCTCATGTTTGTACTGTGGTCAATTATTACCCCCAGGTCTGTGGTGGCAAGTGATGGGGGATCTTCAGTCCTGCTGCCTGATGAGAGGCACTAGTTGCACAAGCACCCATGTTACGAGTTTTGCCTGGTGAAAACTGGTGGTGAAATTTCACAGAACCCTACTAATCACACTGGCTCCTTTCACTGGGGCCTGAGAACAGTGCAAACCCCCCTGCTCCTTCCTCCCCAATCCACCCCATCACTGCAGAAGCTCTGAGCTCTGGTGTTGGGTGGTGACCACAGCTTGGCTCATCTGATCAGTGGTAGGTCTGCACAGATGACAAATCTTCCCCCTGGCAGTGCCCACTGCTCCTCAGACCTGTCCCTGCCTGCCTGATGAGCATAGCTGTGGTGCTCCCTCTGATGGCTGACAGAGGGAAGGCATGGCCAGGCCGGAGAGGCAAGGAAGAACAGACACCACAGTCCTCCAACTTCCAACTCTGGGTAAAAGGCATTGGCATTGATGCTGTTGTAAATGATTGATCGGAACCAGCCGGCTGGTAGGCAAAGAGAGACACTGGCCCCTTGAAACCCAGCTTTCCCACCTGGTGTTGGGCCAATAAGTCAATCTCCTCCACTGCTTCCAGGGCCCAGTGCTTAGGGGACCCATCGGGGCAACTGGAGGTTACTCAGCCGCATAGTGATCCCCAACAATTCAGGCCCCAACCCCCACTCAAACTCCCATGCCCAGTACCCTACAACCCTGTCCTACACCCTAACACCCACCACTCTGCAACTACCAACTTAGACCCAGCACGCCCAGGGCCTCCATTTTCATCCACTAATTCACCCCATGGAAGTGTCCAGTGGCATCCGGTGGTGTAGGCTAAGCACACTAAGCATCACAAAAGCCACTGCATGCTACAGAAGCACTGAAGGGCTGCCTCTGACACCACCTCCAACCCTGTGCCCCTGGCCCCAGGGGGCATGCATGGCAGCCCAGCCTCCATCAGCTTGCCCCAGCCTCCTTCCTGCCTTCTTGGGGCAATTCTCCCCCCACAGCCTGGGAGGAGCAGTTCCAGGGGTGCTTCATCCTCCCCCTCCCAAGCAGGCAGGGGCACCAGGAGCACGCAGAGCTGCCCCAAGCTGTGAGGCTCTTCTTGCCCTCCCCGCACCCCTCAGCAATAGGCCCTACTCTCACAGGGCAGGTTGGATGCACTGGTGCTGACTCCAGAGCAACCCTGATTGACTGCAGAGACCTAGGAGGTGGGGCAGTAAGAAAGACAGCCAATCAGAACAGGCTTACCCTCAGAGCAGAATCTTGCGGAAGGCAGGAGGGTCTGCTGCCACCACCAGGGGTGTCAGCGAGTGTCCTGTCCTTGGGCAGGAATCCAGGCTGTAGGCAGACCCCAGAGACTGGTGCCATCTCATGTCCAATGTGCATTGCACTCTGCCTCCTCCAGCAAGGCCTGTGAGTGCCCTTGCAGAGCTAGAGAGGCATAGGCCCCCAGTAAACCCCTACTCTTTCCAGCTCTACCTGTCAAGTCTCCTGCACTCCAGGCATGTTGCCCACTGGTTCCAGCTCCACTATCAGGGGCTCCTCATCCTTTTTGTACCCCAACTGCTTGGGAGGGACAGAGTGTGGGTTACCTTTGCCACCCACTGAATTGCTCTGTGTTCTATGGTCATGCCTCTGGGTCGCTGCATAAGCCACATGCCAGGATTGCTATCTCAGACTGAGGCAGTGGGGATCTAGTCGCGGGACAGGGAGGAGACTTTCATTGATTTCTCAAAAGCAGGAGGCCGCGGATTAATCAACTGCTTTTATTGTGTTAATTTAGTACAAGCCCGCTGGGGTGTCCAGTTCTGTCTGTCCCGCTCTCCTTTCATGCCCTAACTGTGTCCATGGAGCTGAGCACAGGCTGCCAGGGCTGCACTCACACATCCTACCTGGAGCAGCAGCCTTCCTTCACTTTCTTCACACTTGCTCTTCTACGTCTTCCTCCCATCTTGCTGCCTTCCAGATGAGCCACATGTACAGCTCCGAGGGAATGTGTCACTACAGTTAGTCGCAGTGGATCTAAGGGGTGCTTTCATCACCTCTCGGCTGTTTGGCACCAAACCGGGTTCAATCTCATCATCCCCAAAAGGTTAAAAACATTCTAGTAGATTCCTGGCTGGGATTTCTGGGAGCTGTCCTGGCTCTGAAACACACCCTCTGATCAGGCAAAGGAGAAATGGGGAGAGGAAGAGCTCAAAACAGGCAGCTGGGGAAAAAGTCTAAGCTTTTCAGGTGGAGAAAAGCCCCCTCTCAACGATCTCATGCTTCACCTACAGGTACTGGAGGATCTGTGAGCTCCATCACACATGGAAGCTGGGGACAGGCTTTAGGGGCCTCCTTATCTGGTTTTATTTTGGTCATGAATTCAATACCTCTTAATCCTTGTGGATATGCCTTCACATACTGATCTCCAAGTGCATCACTCATGCATTACAAATGAAGGAGCAAGGGCACTCAGCAGGGCAGGAGCAGAGCTGTGAAGAGAACCTAGGTCCCTGACTCCTGTTGTCTGCTCACTGGGCCTGTGGCTGGTGAAATGCCTTGTGTGCCCCAGAGCTGAGCCCCTACCTATCTGGGGAGAAAGCAGCCAGGAAAGTGTCCTCTACCCAGCCAGGTGGTCAAAAGCAGTGGTGTACTGCATCCCCTCAAGAACTCACCTATTCAGAGCAGGCCTGGGACCAGCTATTGGGCTGTGGTAACTTCCCATTGCTACTAGCTGTGGGCTGGACTTGCCAATATGGAGTCAGATCCCATCTCTGCAGGGCCTGGGAGTGATTTCAGATCAGGGGCTCCCAGAGCAATTTATTTCCAAGCAGGCCCAAGTGCAAGACAGCAGCCCATGGGAATGATTAACTCAACCCTCAGGGATGGCTGATCCTTGGTCAAGTTCATGGAGAGTTATGTGCTTCCACGTGGGCCTTGGTTAAGATCTCCCTGGGTCTGTCAGTGAAGAGCAGACTCAGCGCCTTTCAGGACACAGAAGGACTCCTGTCCTCCCTGTCAGGAACCTGGCTGCCTGTCATTGCTCACTGCTCCCCAGGCCCATCCTGCTGGAAGGTTTCCTAATGACTCTGCTTCTAATTCCATATAAGGGCACATCTCATAAAGGGAAATTCCCAGTGGCTCTCTGATCTCCATCTCAGCCCCAGATCTCCATATACAGCTCTTCTCCTCTTCCACCCCAGGAAATACCAGTCAGGAATGTCCTTGTGGTCCCTTGGGGGCCAGCGTGTCCCAAGGAGGGTTTACATTCATCAGCAACAGTCCATTAATAAATACATCAGTGGTTCTGTTTTGTACCCAAGGGGCAGGGAGCTCAGCGACCCACATCCATACCCCTGTGCCCCACACCAAGCATGGGGACACTGGCAGCTGTCTCTGGGAGGTTCCCAATTCCAGAGGGGCTTGGATAGAAGAAGTAGTGGGAAGGGCCCACCAAATGCCGAAAGAGTCTCTGGCAGAGTAGACCAGTGGGGCATGAAGTGACCCAGGCTAAGCATGGCCATGCTCAGACTCAGGCTGCAAGTTCCTGGAAGAGAGTGTTAGAGCACGATGCCTCTACTAGCTGGTGGCCCCATCTACCAATGACAGAGACAGCGGGGCTGGAAGGACAAACCAGGTGCCCCGTCTCATCCCATCCTGATGGGCAGGGTAACAACACAATCTCCCATCTCTTTTGGTCTTTCAAGGCCCGGGCAACCCCTCTTTGGCTGTGTGCTGTGGAAGAGGCTGCATGTCCCCTGGGGGCTTTGTCTGCAGGGCTGAATATGCCCCTCTCCAGCCATGGCCAGCTCAGGAGAATAGCAGCTGAACTGCATGGTTGATGATGCCTCCCCTACTAGCTATGTGTGGAGGTTGTATACTGGAGCCGTTTCGGTACCTCTATGGGAGCCATCTCCTCTGCACGGTGGTTTCAAT